TCCTCCGGGGATAAGATTGGACGCAATGACTGACGCGACACGAGGTCACCCTCTAACGAGTGTCCCGCATGAGATCAGATCTCACAGAAGACGAAGGCCTCACTAAGGAGGACCTGCTACAGTCTGCCCCTCATTAACAGGGGAGTCGAGTTATTCCGTGTAAAACGCATGTACGTCAGCAGTTAAGGATTCACACAGACTCCTCTTAGTCCGGCAAACGTGTGTTATGAGCCAACGTGGACCTTGCACCGGCAAAGCGCTCGTTGTTTTGCATACGCAAAACACACCGCCGAGACTGTATGCGTGTACGTACGCACGTGCCCTGGTGGCGCCAGTTCAGGGCGCTGTCGACAAAAATATGGCGTGCATCGTACCGTCCGCGTAAACAACAGGCAGCGTGAAAGTGACGGCCATTAGGAAACACCCCAATTGTTCCCTCTTTTCAGGCGAAAGCGGGGGTTTACGAGGAATATTTTGCGACAACCTCTCCCCCCCCCCAACAGTCAAATCAGCAAGGCGGCTTTTGAGTTGGTGAATGAAAACTTGTATTTTAGACCGAAACAGTCGTCTGTGATCTGGCATTCGTGGTCCTTGCAGTTGGAAAAGCGAAAGAGCTAATGCCTCGTTGAAAGACTAATGGCAGTTTACTTGCCCACGTGCCCGTATATCCCGACCAGCAGCGAGGGTAGCTTTTTAAAAAGGAAAAAAAATACCAAGAGAAGAAAAACCTGCTTGAAAGAAGTACACGCGAAGAGAAGGGAGACTGGGATAACCGTTTCCGACTTGTCAGACATCGTCAGCCCTACCCAAACCTGAGTTTGCAGTATCTGAGGCCCGAAATCGCTTTCTTTGGTCATCAAGAGGCCCTACCAGCTAGGTCACGAGCTCGTTGTCCTGTCGGCTGAGATCGGGGATACTGAATCTCGCTAAAGGAGAAACTCCGGAGGGCAGTTAGGCTGCGTGGAGTTCAGCGTTCTTGAAAGAGAAAACGATCTGATTAATCCAAAGGCCTTGTTGGCTGATCCGAAAGCAAAAGGCATGCGCATATAGAGCACGTAAATCGATAAAATCAATAGCTTAAAGTTCGATGGCAAAGCAGATGACAATTTCAACTAACTAAAAACTGTCGGCAGAATAGCATAGCCGACAAAGATAAGAAGGATTGGAATGTCCGCTTCTGGCTTATTAACCGTCGTCAGCCAGTCACACCTAGCCTCAAAGTGCGAAGCAACTGGAGTTCGATTCCGCAACCTGTTAGTTGGAAGTTAAACTCCTCTATCCACTGAGCCACGGATTCGTTTTCCTGTCGGTTGCGATCGGGAATGTACGATGATAGAGGTGCGCTCACCGATCGTTATTTTGGAACTCACTCCTTCCGTTTTGCCTTGCAGGTTTTCTCTCGAGCCCAACCAGCAGCCGCACAGCGGCGCGTGATGTGGGCAGAATAGTATTGCCAAAAACGACAAGGCATCGAGCTTTAGGTTTTTCACACTTTTGGGTTAGGTATGACTGGCTGACGACGGCTAATGAGCCAGAAATTATCATTCCGGTCTCTCTTGTCTTTGTCAGCAATGCTGTTCTGTCGATATTGCACGCCGCAGTGCGGCCACTGGCGGGGCTCGAGAGAGAGCCCCAAGGCACGAAGGGAAGAGTGAGTTCGTAGCGTGATCGGTGAGCGTCCTCCCACCAGTAAAAATTGTCGGTTCTCATTTCATTGGTAGCGGAGAGGTCCTCCCCTTCAAACACAAGTAAAGGCTTCCTCACGTCATCAGTTTAAAGTTTTAGCATATTTACAAAACTATAACTTCTTTTAGGAACACAAATAAGCTTCACTGACTCCAGATTCTCATTTAAACGCCTGCATGGTTTGGCGAAGACGGTGCGGGAAAACTGCGGGAATTTTCTTCAATAGCGCACGGGTGGTTGGACGAGCATCCGTCCGGAAAGACGGATGGGCGGCGTCAGGCACCATTTCAGTGGCAGTGGGCGAACGTGAGGGTCGGTCTGGTATCAAGACCCGGGAAAAGTAATCGATTCAGTGCATCGGTTCCACAACGGCGACTAGTACAGCTCTCAGCTGGCAGAGAAGTGGTTTCACAATCCCACTGACAGCTGAGTGATATGATGCGGTCCAGGTCCATGTGCAGCCTGAACAGTGCGGAAGGGTGTGGAGAGTTGGGACCGAAACTGAGAATCAGGACCAGTCTTAGTGCTGGAAGACTCAATGAGGACGTCAGCCACACGACCGATAAAGATATTAAACTCGGTTGCTGTCCTTACATTCGGCGGTTTAGGGTGTCACAGAGAGGAACACGGTTACCAGTGATAAGCGGAGGGACAGCAATTGCTTTCCCGGAACATCTTAGTCACACGGGAAACTAAGAGCACGTCGCTCATCGGCCATGATTTTGAGGTCTATCTCAGGAGTCGCTTAAAATGTGAGTATGCGGGGTCTGAACGGCGTGTCACTCACCCAATTGACGCCATAGGGAATTTGCATGAACTGAGAGATGTGGTCCACTTGTCATATGTCCTGGGTTTCATATGTGTTAAGGGGGGATCACAAGGTGGAAGTGAGGAGTCGATGTTCGGTGAGGATGGGAAGGTTCCTACCGTGGAGAAAGCACCGGAAACGTTTATGGCGAGGTCGAGGCGGCGAGAAGTACCTGTCTGACTGCTCTGTAGCAAGTCTCGAAAGATGAGAACCTCCTGGATAAGAAAGCTAGACACTGGATAGAATTTGGGAGGTATTTCTGTAGAAACGTTCCAACAGCAGCATCGTGGACGCCTACCATCAAGCGGATGGTAGACAGGATGGGCGAGGAGGACGACGCCAGCCGGGACGACGGCGTCTGATGAGAGCGCGAGTGAGGCTTTGAGGCTGGATAGAAGGCTCATGGGCGATAGCATGAGGTCAGCACTGTTAGGGAAGAACCCGCCATGTAAACTTATTATCGCGGGAGCAGGTGCTGGGAGGTTGGTGGAGGCAAGTCTCTGACATCACAAACCTTAGAGGTGAAAGAGTGAGTGCTGGCCGAGTCAACTAGACTGCTCAAGACTTCGAGGTAAGATGCGTGGAAGATGGGTTGCTTATGGCGCTGAACTTCTGGTGGCGGTCAAACATGCATGTAAGGCGTACTTCGTATTTTACCCTCGCGCGTCGTTGCTGGAAATCTTAATAACGGAAAACCCCCGTGGGGAGAGAGGTTCTGGAAAGATAGACAGGTCACATAAATTGTCCGCCAGATCCTGGAGATGGAGGAAACGGCAGCGATTGAGGGAGTGTTAATGCTAAAAGCGCGGTGACCTTCGCAGGGATGTCAGTCGTCAAAGCTGGTCCTCGGGTAAAGTTCGTGATCATTACGGTCGGTCTGGTTTCGGCAGAAGACAGATGCGCAGCTGTGGGACGGAGGGGTCGAAAGAGGATTAGTTCATATGGGCCGAAATATATCGCGCGGTTAGCTGCCGATGTTGGTTTTAGGAGGGGTGAATCGAGAGTGTGCCCCCAAACGGGCCACGTGGTAGGTGCTCTGGACCTATAAGGGGGGCATATGGGATCCTGGCAGGGATCATCGGATTTGCGCACCATAACAGATGCCAACATTTCGGGATGCGGTGGCACACCCGGTTGCCGGCAGACGTCGCGCACACTGGGATCCCTACCACCCCCCTCACCCCATTGTTGCTGTTGGTCAAAAACCTGATCATTTGCTGCGTGGGCTAGAGGATGCGAAGTGTAACGCCAAGGTGCGGACTCGACCGTGCCATCCACCTGCGCCTTTGCCCGCCTCCGGTCTTTTCGACCCTGTCTTGACACCGAGTCCAGGTGGAGGAGGAGAGAGTGCGGTAGATTCTGTGCAAGTCCACTATCACCATAAACTAATTCAAGCACAAATCACCGTCCCTGCTCTCACCTTGATGTGGAGCAGCCGGTGGACATCGTCGAAAACGACGGTCGAACTGTCAAATCAGGGTATTTGAAAAGCAGCTGTTGCGATGAACATACCGAAAAGAGGTTCAGGACGGAAGGTTTGGGCGACATACTTCAGACGGAAAAGATAGTTTTCTTGTCAGGAGGGTGAGGTTATAGACACCTGAACGGGAATTCAAAGGCAAAACGAAAATTTACAGCAAGGAGGAGATGGGTGTTTGCTGCGTGCCATGCTTTAGAGTCGTTAGAGTCCCACATCCAGAGTGGGAGGGGAGCGACACGCGTCGTAACTGGAGAAGGCGGCGCCTTGAAGACGCAAGCCACAGTTGTGACCTTGGCGGTCTGTGCGTGCCAGAAGAATTATGTTCAACAGGCTTCGCCGTAGATGCGCCGGACCAAAGCGGAGGTCAGACGGGTTCGTAACACGCGTTTACAGGACTGCGCATAGTCTGTGCGGATCTTTATCTTGATGCCCCGCGACCTTTTTTTCAAGGAACCGCT